AATTCAGGAAGTGAGAGAGAGGGCAGCTGTATGTGTATGGCTGTGTGGTAGAGTATATGAATGAGGAAAGAGATTTATTTTGCGCCTCCTTCCTGCCCAGGTGACCGGCAAGAAGAACAGGTGAATGAAGTTGGAATAGGCAACAACCTTTCGGGCCTCCATCCCTCACTGTGACACAAGGTCTTCAAAGAGATCGTCTCTCAAGTCCTTTCCTGTTCTGAATTCTGCTTCTACTTAAAAAAAAAAAAAAAGGCCCTTTCCCTTCACCCACTTCACCTGCCTGAGCTAATATTCCTTGGCACCTTCTCCCCACCTGCTTTTTTGCTTCTCTCCTGTATTTCCAATGAAGAACTCGTGCTGCCACTCTGGCTCATGTACGCACTCCCTTCCTTTTGCACTCCCTGGGATTTTCCACACTACGTAGTGAAAGCTTCATTTTTCTTCCTGAGTCTCGGTCCAGGGTCTTCCAATTGACCTGAATCTGTAGGTTTTTTCCCTCTTCTTTTTATGCTCCCCTATAACGTTCACGCGCAGCTTATCACATCCTTCCTTGTTGTGAAATAGACATTTCTGATTGGAAGCTATTGGTCTTTATCCCAGACCTCCTGGGTAGGTAGTTTGTAAACCAGAGCCATTTGTTGCCCGCATTTACATATCAGCTGGAGTATTTGCATATCAGCTGGAGCATTTGCATATCAGCTTGGAGCATTTGCATATCAGCTTGGAACAGAGATTCTCAGTGGGATCTGGGTACCCACCAAGAATCCCTGATGACCTTTCAGGGGATCCACTGGTCAGAAATATTTTTATATTAAAACGAATCCGTTCATTTCACAATAAAACTGAGACAGGTGCTTTTCTCCCTCCCAGCCCTTCCTGAGTATACCCTGCAGTTTTCCAGAAGCTGTAGGACATAGGATGTGGCAGCCGACTGAAAGCAGAACATGTGAGATCAGACGTGTCTTCTGTTCTGCCAGCCATCAAAGAGATTTGCCAAACCGTCACCTGAGGACAATCTTCTCGCCAATATGTTTCATTTTGGAAATGTAAGTGTTTTTCATAAAAACATAGCGTGTTATGTACACATTGTTATATTTAAATGAATCAATACATATTTTTTAAGTTTTTTTAGTTTTAACTTCCCCACAGCCAATATCAATAGATATATCCCATGTAATAAGCAAGTGCTCTTGGGGTTCTAGGTCATTTGAAGGTGTAAAGGGATCCTGAAATCAAACAATTTGAGATCACTAATGCAGAGAAGCCACAGGTCTGCCAAGTTGCAGCTAAAGCTCAGTTGGACACGTGCCTTCGGCCCAAAATTAATATGAAAAGAACATCATTGCATTGCCAGTCCATCACCTACTATAGGGTAGAGGGAGGCAAGCTAGGTTCAACACTGCTCGCCAGGACTAGATTCTTAGGATGAATTTACATTTCTGAGTCTAGGGGGGGAAATGAGGTTCTTTACGTATTGCATGTGTGCTGAGCCTAGAGGCTGAGCCCCAGGTGAACAAGAGCTACCGGGGCTGCTGAGCAAGCTCGTTTCCCCTGTGTGGCTGCAGAACTCTATGGCTGAGGACTAATGTAGCTGTGCTCACAGCAGGTGTGAGTTAGGCATGGGGACTGGCGTGGAACATCCCTCTCAGCTTCTAACTATGACTTCTGACCGTGACCTAGGTGCTGGCAGACAGGTACACATGTGGGACTGACAGGTGGAAATGAGAGACAGAAAACCTCTGCTGTTTCTGTAGTTTCTGCTGGAAAACACCTTGAGTCTGTCTGGCTTTTCTGTGGCCACTTTCTGGTCATAGCTGTGCTGACTGTGGTAGATTCCTGATTATCTAGGCTTCCAAACCACAGCAGCAGGCAGCAGGAGCACATTCCTGGTCTTAGCAGCTGCAACACCGACTTCTCAAATCTACAGCTTCCCTCTTGGTCGCAGTACAGTCAGCAGCTCCCCATGGTGCTGAAGTGCGACTCTGAGGACAGTCCCCGAAAGTCCTGGCAGAAGGCTCTCCATCTGATGGGGGCTGCCGTTTGGCCTCTGTGACTCAGTAGATCCAATGGGAGTCCAATATCTGTCTGGCTGCTCAAGGTGCTCGATGGTAACTATGACAAGCTCTAAAAAGTCCCCGGGCTATGGATCAAAGCCAGCTCTGCTTCGGCCATTGGAAATGGCTCTTAACTTGTATTGGGTCCTGGTCAAGACAGAATATCTGATCATGGGCACTAATTGCCATGTGACCTAAGTGGTCTCTAATGAACTGTTATCTAATCCAGTGAGCTGTAAGGTTGGACGCATCCAGAGGTCGTCCACAATCAAACATGGAACATTTGAGTGGGTCCCGAAGGTACCATTGGATCACTGGGACAGATGCCATACAATCCCAGCACATCACCTCCTGCTACATTGGCCATTCGCCATGACCACTGACATGACCTATTTCCTACTTGGGGTGGTGTGTGGAGATGATGCACCGATTTTAGAATGTAGAAGAATCAAGGGAGGCATCCGTCAATCAATACTCTACTCCAGAATTGCTGTTTCCATACATTTGTTTTCTCTTTATCATTAAGCAGATGTCAAACATGCACAGAAATAAAGAAACTTGTGTAATGGGGTCCCATGTACCCTTCACCCAGCTTCAAATATTAACCAGGTGATCAATCTTATTGGTAATCACCTCTCAGTTATGCTGAGGCAACTAACAGATTTTACATCATTCAATCCATAAATATTTCAGTATTCACCTAAAAGATAAAGGCTCTTAATTAATGTGTATATAACATATATATTTTATACACACACACACACACTATATACATAAAACATATATAAGTCTCGAGCAGAAGGTGTAATGGTTATGTCACTCGACTCCCATATAGTTGACCTCGGTTAGAGTCCTGGACCTGGCGGCTTAAAATTCACTTTGGTTGTGTGTGCATGCATGCCCAAAATCCCAAAAGGAGAATGAAAAAGGGATTGCAGCATGGCCATCTCCCCTGGGGAGGTGATTTCTTGCTTTCTGTCTCTCTGCCTCTCTGTTTCTCCAGCAAGTGCATGCACCCTATAGCAAAAACTCTCTAAAAAAAATTATATATATATACATATATATATATATATGTATATATATATAATGTATATACAAACACACAATTCCATTATCATCTACAAAGCTTAGTGATGCCTAAATATCATCCAATACCTAATCAGTTTTCAAATTCCAATTGTCTTGTAAATGTTCTGTGCTTTTTTTACAGTTTGTTTCAGGATCCCAATGAGCTCCACACATTCTATACATTTTAAACTTCCAGAAAACCGTGGATTGAAATTGAACCCACAATGAAATTGAAATTTTCCAAACCTTCCTTACATTTTACAAAATTGCAATTATAATTCAAGGGAAGTATTTTTACCCAGCTTTCCAAGGCTGTTCTAGTCACTGGAAACTACTTCCACGGGCCCCATGTTTCTCGCCTCATACTGGAAGCATCTGGCAATCTGGCTGCAGAACAATGAGCAGGTGAGTCATTCTCCACCGGAGTCCCTCCTACATTGTAGTGTTACCCCGTAATGTCCCTTGTCCTCAGCAGCTGCTTGGAGACCTTAGACGGTTCAATTCCCTGAGTAGCCACCAGGGGGCTCCCAAAGGGCTCCCAAAGAACTTGAACTTTGGCAAAGCCAACTCCGTGGTTTGCTGCAGAGACTGAACAGGCAGGCGCCTCCCTCACTCAGGCCAGATTCTGCCAGCAGAAGAGACAAGACCTCAAGGACATGAACCTCAGTCCCCATGGCTGGCTGGAAAAGGAGAGATGAGCTGTCAATTGCCTTCTCAGAGAGTTTGAGATTTTCAGCCCAACCCAGCCCCGAGGTGTTCCTTTCGTAGTCTGTGGACAGCAAAGAGCGTACACAGATGGGATGCATTCATGCTAATAAGCACCTGTAGTGCCTTGCATGTTGATAAATACTTCAATATTACGCCATACTGTCACAATGCTAAGTACAGGCAGTTTATACGAACTTACACACTTGGGAAAGAACGCCAGCCAGAGAACCCGGGTGCCCAGATTCTCCATTTGGCCTCACAAGTGTCTCCATCTCTAGGCCTCAAGGGTATAACAGAGGGAGACAGCTGTGCTACTACAACTATTTTTTCATACTGAACACAGAACTCGTATATGCCAAATCCTCACAAAACACCTCAGGAAACTGAGGGGGTTGAGGTAGGTCTCTCCCTTCTCTACTGGGGACTGTATTGGTCTTAAAGGTCGGCTGTAACAAACAGCACAAACTGGATGACTTAAAGCAGCCGTAAAGCGGAGTGCTTGAACGCAGCCGTAAACGCATTGTCTCGTAGTTCTGGAGGCTAGAAGTCTTAGGTGGAGGTGTCGGGGGGCCCAGCTCTCTGATGGCTCTAAGGGCGACCCCACCTTGCCCCTCGCAGTCCCCATGTTCACCAGCGTCCCTTGACGTTTCTTGGCTCATGGATGACCATCATCTTCCCATACGTGTCCATCATCCCTGTGTGCATGTCCGTTTCTGTCCAAATTTCTCCTTTTTATCAGGACATCAGCTTGTTAAATTAGGATCTGCCAGCCTAGCAGACTCATTTTAACTTAATTGCCACGGTAAAGACTCCATCTCCAAATACAGTCACGTTCTGAGGGGCTGGAGGTTGGGACTTCAGTGTACCTTTTGGGAGGGAACATGATTCAACCCAGAACAGGAATCATGTTGTAGAAATGACCATGTCCAGACAGACCACGGACTGTGCATGCTAATGGGTTGGCCACCCTGGGTTTCCAGGATAGAGTCAAGTCTACCAAGGGGCCGTAATAACACAATTACACTGTGGAGAACTGCGTGCCATGATTTTACTAGGAAAGCAAGATTACAACCCAAGTGAGCATCACCAAATTGCATGAAATTCCTATAGTTAAAAAGTAAACCGAGGCACAGTGAAACTTTGAAGCGTTTATTTAAATGCACAACAATTCATGAATCGGGCAGCTCTAAGTCAGAAGTGGTTCCAGAGCTCCACTGAGGAAGCACAAAGGGAGTCTTCCACGGAATGAACACAGAAGCAAAGCAAGGAGAACACTGGGTTGGTTCCAGTTTCACGGTGGCGTTACTTGATCTATCCCTTTGGGAAGTCCCCAGTTACACAATTATGAGTTTGTTATCCGCATCCGATTGGCTGAGCAGAAGTTCTATTTTGCTTTAATGCAGGTGTGAGCATTCACACACCAACAGCCCCATTAAATTTTAATTATGTTTGCAAACCAAGCAAGGTTAAGGCCACTTCTGAGGCTCACCTGGCTTTGTCTGCTTGGGGATTCTTCAGGCCAGATTTCCATTTCGATTTACTTTTCTCCTACGATCATTGACACAGACAGTAAAATACAAACCCAGATCTAAAAAATCTGATTTTTTTTTTCCCTAAAGGGTATAACAGAGGGAGACAGCTGTGCTACTACAACTATTTTTTCATACTGAACACAGAACTCGTATATGCCAAACCCTCACAAAACACCTCAGGAAGGCAAGCATTGACTACGAGAGCGAGAGCGAGGCTGCACCGGACCCCGCTCGTCACCACCAGCAGAGGGGCACCCACTTACTCAGATTTCAACCCGGAAGTTCTGGCCCTGCAGGCATCAGTTCTAGAGGCACTGCTTCAGTTCCAGACACGGCTTCTCGATGAACAGCGTGAGGGCCAGCCCAGCGACGAAAGTCAGCAGGCAGTGTCCGGAGAAAAGATAGAACTGGAAAGAAAGAGGGCACGTGGGCACAGCTGTGTTCTATGATCCTGACGGTGTTCAGATGTTTTCGTTTTTGTTTCTTTATGTCAGAAGGCGTGTGAGAATTGGTGGTGCTAGCAGAGAGAGAGAGATAGGGAGACGGAGAACAGAACCTCGCAGTGGGACATGGTCCCCTGGCAACCCCTCTCCTCCACTTCTCCAACCTGCCGGGATGTGGGGTGCACACACATATGCACCCAGTGTGTTTTTCGAGCTTGCAGGGCCAGGATTAAAACCACAGGTGGCCACGTGTAGTCTGGCCTCCTTACCTGTGGCCAGGGGCCAGCCCTGTGTTCAGATCTTAAAGTGAATCATCCCGAACATATGGAATAGCTCTGTAGGCCACAAAACCTTTAATTTTTTTTATTGAGCTTTATTTACTTTAATTTGACTAGAAAGGGAAAAAGTGAGAGAGAGAGTGAGAATAAGAGAGGGAACGTGAGAAAGCAAGCCGCCAGGTCCGGGACTCAAACTGCAGTCAGCCATGTGGGAGCCCAGCGCCCTTAACCAGCTGCCAGCCCCCAGCCAAAATATCGTAAACATAAAAATGAAATGAAGGGGTGAGCAGGTGGTATGATGGTTAAGGCACTGGACTTCCACATGGCTGACCACGGTTCAAGTCCCAGACCTGGCGACTTCAAAATCACACTGCACTCGTGTGTATGTGTGCCCAAAATCCTGGGAGAAAAATGGATTGTGGTGTGGTTACCCCCCCGAACCCAGGAGTGAGTTCTCACTTTCCCTCTCACTGTCTCCCTCTCTCTTCGGTGAACGCACATGCCCTATGGCAAAAACCTTAAAATAAGATCAAATGAAATAAAATGAATAAAGCAAAGATATTATTCCTTGCTGAAGACCTTCCTCTTCGTCTCTCAAATGAAACAGAGAACAAGAAGCCTCTTTAAGACAGAGATTTTAAAATCAGGCTTTGCCAAGACGAGCAGGCGGCCTCGTTGCTCGAGAAGAGAACAAGTGGAGCTACCGTCATGGCAGTCAGAGCCGTTCCGACTCACCATGTTGGTGTCCGTGTAGTGGACGAGTGTGTCCTGGAGGCCGTTGTAGAGGATGACCACCACGGGATGCACCAGGTAGCACGCGTAACTGATGCCAGCCAGGAAGCGCCAGACGTCCCAGGAGAGCACGCGGTTCACCAGACCTGGAGGAAAAGGCGCCAGTTCTCCAGCCGCAAGCCCCGCTCGGGGCCAGTGAGGACGCTGTCCTCGAGGCTCCCTCTGGGTTCTGAGCCTCGTCTCAGGAGGGAGACCTAAGAAGGTCTTTCTGTAGTGTAGTTTTTAAGAAAATGCACTCCTTAACCTTCACGCCACCTGCTGACGCAGAAAATGCACTCCTCAGGGCTAGCAGGTGGTGTGGAGGCTAAGGCTGCTGGGTCCCACGTAGCTGACTGCATGGTTCGAGTCCTGTGCATGGCAGCTTGAAAATCACAGTGGGCACGTGTGTCCATGTGCCCAAAGTCCTGAGAGGAGAAGGGCAGAGAAGGGATTGCAGCATGTTTGTTTTAAGCCAGAAAAAAGAAAGGATGAAAAAGAAAGAGAAAGGGAAAGAAATGAATGAAATAAGCAAGCTTCTGTTTCTCCTTCATACACAACTTGTTTAAAGTTCTCCTGCCCCTTTGTAATATATTTTTTTTGGGGGGAGGTGTCTATCACTGGATCCTCAGCACCTAGAAGGGTGCCTGACAGGGAACAAACATTCAGTAAGTATTTTACATAATTAAGCGAATAAACAGAGAAGGACTCACAGACAAAAGATCCACTTGCCAAAGAAGGTGAATCAAAATTTCATTGTGGAATGAAACAAAACAGTTGCAGGAAAAAAAGAAGTGAGCAAAAAGCTATTCTCATACAGACAGGCCAAACACAAAGGAACATGTCGGCAAGCAGACAATGCCGTATTCCCATTGTGAGCTGTGGTCAACTCCAGAAAACTCTTCATCACGTTAAATTAGTGCTGTCGGCTCAGGTTCTGTTCATCCTAAAATTCCATGGTTACTTCATAAATTTGGTTTTATAACTGTATGTGCCATACACATAAAAATTTGTATCTAGGTTTATGTTTGTCCAGGTTCATATGAAATTAGAATACACCAACACTAAAGATCCAAAATGATTCTTGCTCCTTTAGAAGGGATCCCAACGTTTTTGAGAATGACCACTATGGGTGACAAGGTGCCACTGGAGCTTTTTTTTTTTTGAGAGAGAGACTTTTGTTATAGGGTGCACGTGCTCACTGGATAGACACAGATAGAGAAAGTGAGAAATCACCCGAAGGGGGAATGGCCATGCCGCAATCCCTTCTCCTCCATTCTCCTCTTGGGATTTTGGGCATGCACATACATGCACCTGGTGTGAGTTTCAAGCCACCAAGTCTGGGACTTGAACTGTGATCAACCATGTGGGAGTCTGGTGCCTTAACCACTATGCCACCTGGCCCCCCACTACTGGAGCATTTTAACCAAAGGAGTAACCATCAGAAAACGACTCTGATAACTCAACAAGAGACGATTTTGAATATAACGAGCCAGCATAGTCTACATTTGTACCTTCCAAACTTGATTGAAACAGTCATTTGAGCCATCAAGATCCTTTCTAGTCTTGAAAGCCTCTGTTAAAAATTTCATCAAGGGTTTGGGACCAGCAGATGGAATAATGGTTATATCACTGGACTTTCACGTAGTCGACCACGATTTGAGTCCTGGACCTGGTGGCTGAAAACTCACACTGGGTCTGTGTGCATGTATACCCAAAATCCTGAGAAAGAATGGAGGAGAAGGGGTGGAAGTGTGGCCATCCCCCCGGGGGTTGATATCTCACTTTTTGTGCGTGTGTGTGTGTGTGTGTGTGTGTGTGTCTCCAGGAAGAAAACATGCTCTATAGCAAAAAAAAAATCTCTCTTAAAAATTTTTTTCTGGGGGACCAGTAGGTGGCATGGTGGTTAAGGCACTGGACACTCCTACATGGTCGACCATGTTTCGAGTCCTGGACCTGGTGGCTTGCTTTCTTGCTTTCCCTGTCTTTGTCTGTGTCTCTCTTTGGTCAACTTAAAATAAATGAATGAATAAATAAAATATAATTTTTTTTCTTCAAAGGACCAGGAAATGGCATAATAGTTACATCACTGGACTTCCACGTAGTCAACCGTGGTTCAAGTCCCAGACCTGGTGGCTTAAAACACACCAGGCATGTGTGTGTTTGCGCACTCAAAATCCCAAGAGGAGAATGGAGAGGAAGGGATTGCAGTGTGCCCATCCCTCTGATGTGGTTATTTCTCGCTTTCTGTCTCTCTGTCTCTCTGGGAAGTGCATGCACCCTAGAGCAAAAATCTCTTTTAAAAAAATCTTCAAGAACATATAGTTTCCTAAAATGCAAAGTCTCACCTTCATTCCCCTAATCTGTCTTGATGTCTTCTGGATGGTGCTGGAGATACGAATCTAGAGCAGCAGTTGCAACTATGACTGTGGATTGGCTGATAAACAAAAGGACTTGTTCATCACCCAATAAAGAGATCTCACCTACTCAGACTAGTGACAGAGAGAATAAACTAGTTTACTGTAATGATTACACTGGGAATTCATTTGTCTAACTTACCCCGTCATCGCTCTCTGGTCATTTATGCTCATGGTTATTTTTCATGACAGCAGGATTTCCCACACAGGCAGGAATACCACAGCGTTTGCCATCACAGGGTACATTGCCTGTTCTAGGACTGGGGCTGTAGTTGTTTGAGGTTCTGCCCAAAGCTCAGAGACACTGTCTCAGGGTGGGGAGGGAGATTGGGCTGGCAGTCATGTGATCCAAACACCTTCCCATAAAAGCAATACATCAGTCAGAGATCATACAGCCTGTTTCCTCTTTATCATCATTCTTCCATAAAAAGGAAAGATTTTAGAATTAAAATAGTAAAAAAGAAATCCCTCATCCTATATTAAAATACTCACAAATTAAACTGCAATTTTAAAATAGTTTTAAGATTTTATTTAATATTTTAATTTGCTGTAGGGCATGTGCACTCACCAGAGAGACAGAGAGAGAGAGTGAGAAGGCAAGCTGCCCAGTTGAGGACTTGAACCATAGCTAGCCATGTGGGAGTCCAGTGCTGTAAGCACGACACCACCTGCTGGCCCCCAAGAGCAATTTTAATCAACGTCTGAGAGGGGTACGAATGCATAAAAGTGAAGAGCATCGGCACAAACTCTGCACTAGGTCCTGGGTCATACTTTTAGCTCAACCACATATCGGCTGTGTGCCTTCCCCATGTCATCTCATTCCAGGCATAGGTGTCCTCACTGAGAAACAGCCTGGGATGGTCAGACCTCACAGGGGTGTGGTCAGTGTTACTTGGGATCCTGTGGGTGATGTTTTCCACAGGGCATGGTATAGAGCATGCACTCAGAAAGCAGGGGCTGTTAGGATCCCTGAGTTATTTTTCTCTGCAAGCCATGATTTCTAGCCATCTCCGCTGAGGCTCACTGCTCTCAGTCCATGAGCTAACTCATCCCGATCATTTCCCTCGAGCGAAGGTTGTCATGCTCCTGGCTCAGCCTCGGGCCAGACCTGTTCTGGATGGCTCCTGCCAGCCTTTGTCCTGTCACTTGTCAGCACCCCAAATTCTCCAAGCCCTCAGTGTCCACTTCGAGCCACAGAGAGGAGAAAGGGAGGAAAACCTCAGGGGACTTGAATGCTCGTTTCTATCTGGAGAAGATTCTCTTCTTTCCATCGAGGTTCTCTATCTACTTGGCCTCCTGCATGTTGAAAGCCAGCAGAAACACAGTGTCCCCAGATAGCAAAGCAGACCTTGGTGACCATTTGGTCTAATACTTTCCTCGGGTGAAGGAACTAAGGCCCAAGGTGGGTTGACCAGAAGTCTTATCCCTGCCCTGGCCTATTTTCGCTTGTTGCGTTATTCTCCTGGGTTCTCCTTCAGTGTCTAGACTGGCATCGCTGGAGCAACAGTCACCTTTTCTCACAACATCTGCGTTTATACCTAAACCAGTTTAAAAGTCTACACCAGAATATGTGGGGTGTTTTTGAATAAGTATCTCTCCTTTGTCACCAGCAAATAGAAGCCCTGTGAACGTGCTTTGTTGAATGTGACACTTTTAAGGGGACAGTGTGCATACACCACAGAGCAAGCCCTGCTACATCATACCATACCTCCATAGCCCTCCTGACAGGCAAGAAGGACCCAGCCCACGGCCGCCGCCCACAGGGTCCGGTGGAGGGCCTGGTAGACAGCAGCAGCCACTGAGGAGGTAGCAGAGGTGTCATCGACCATGTATGCCAGAGCCACCACTGCAAACAAGGCTGACAGGGAACAAGTCCACCCCAACAGAGCCTGCACCTGCCGGGAAAGGAGAGGCAGGTCATGGCCAGCTTCAGCCATTGGATGTGACCTCCTTTCACACAAACTGACTTCTTTGGTGCCATTGCTGTCACTTCAGGGTTCTATTTCTAAACCGCAATCACCATGCAAATTTGGCTTAAATAGAAGGTGCATATCAGAGGTAGCCAGGGATGAAGAATGGCGGGGGAGAGTGGAGTGTGTGCAGCTAGAGAGGGGCAGCAAGAGGGAGAACTTGGAGTGACAGAGAGCTCTGTCCCTTGACTGTGGTGGTGGTTGTGACACAAATCTACACACCTGACAAAAATCGCTCAGGACCACACACACACACACACGCACACACAAGTGCACATAAAGCTGGGGGAGTTGAGGCCTATGGATTGTGCTGGTGTCAATTTCCCGGTTGTGATAATGCACATAGTTATGTCACATGATGAGGGGGTGGTGGTGAAGGATACAGAGGACTTCTCTGTTCGATTTTTGCAATTTTCTGCATATCTATAACCATTTAGAAATGAAAGTTAGAAGAAACTAAGTAAAGTAATGCTCTAACCTCCTCCTAATCTCACATTCTGTCCCCGAAACAAATAAGGCTCCTGGATTGGTTGTGCCCCCCCCCCCAAATGTGAGAGCCCATGGCACACAGATACG